ATGTTTATTCAGAGAAAGTACGTTTTTGTGTCTGATTTCGTAACTTAATTAATAGTTAGCACTAATTAATTAGCATATTTGAGGTCACCCCCAGGAACCATTAAGATTGACACTTAGTTCATGAAAATCCGATCATTAGAACAAAAGTTATTCAGGGTGATATCTTTTTTTTTTGCGGACTGTACATGAAAACATTTGCACGCTTTTATCTTCGGATTTCTTACGTTCCAGTTATTTAATTCATAGAAATTTTTTTTTATTACAGTCTATAAACCTCCATCCATTATTTGTCCAGATGATATAACGGTAGAACTTAGTTTGAATGAAAGCTCTTCAAATCTCTCTATTCCTCAGCCAATCACAAACATGGAAAATGTTGAAATTTATCCTGATTGGATAAGGTTAGAGCAACCCATTCCTTTTCCAAGTGGCAAAACAAACGTATTATTTAAAGTGAGAAATGCTGACTCCAACGTGACTTCGCAGTGCATCATGACAATCAATGTTATAGGTGAGGTTTTTTAAAAAAATATTTCTATCATTGTAATTATGATTTATAAGCATCTATTTCAGTTCTACAATTAATTGCTTTACAAAGGCTCCTCTTCTCTAGTGAACCTGAATCGTTTTTCTACGTTGCTCTAGCTATAGATTATGCACTTAATTCTAAATGAAAGGAATTTAAGTTTAGATGTTTGCTTAAAATTAGAGTTGTTCGGTAAAAGTCTGGAAATTTTTTACGAAATGAATCTATGAATCTTTCGTTAATTATGTAATTAAATATAAAGTTTCGAAGCCAATTTATCCATTCGTAATTGTTCTCAGATCGGCTAATTGCAAGACAAGGCTCTATGCAGATCACCGTAGTCAAGCATAACTGGCAGTGGATATAGAGTGGGTGGGTGACCCATTCGAAGAGGCTGCCAATGAACCGCGGGTCTGTGGTATCAGTCCTTAAATTGTTCTACAGTAAACATGGGGCTACCATCCCCTGTGCAGAGGATCAAGATCATGTGCTCGGAACGTCATCAGGCTTGTTTCCCAGACCGTCACCAGCAGTCCATTGTGCAGCTCTAGTGCACAATGTAAATGCACAATGCACTAGTAAATATAGTATTATTACTACCAATCGGTGGAGATTTTTGATATGGCGGATTCCAACAATTCTACCAAATTTCAAAACTTTTAAATTTTTTTTCTTTGTTGACAGGGCTAACTTGCCTGATGCACTTATCAGCTTTCGAAGATGTTCGCAGATTTTAAATAAATGCAATTGTCTTTAGTCTGAGAGATGCTAGCTTCCTGAAATTTTGACATCGACTACATTGAGCAATTTTAAAGCCCTATAGTAAAAATCGTTTCAATTACTCCGTTCGGGAGAAATGATTTAAATATGAATTTTTGCGCATTAGTTTAGCTTTAACCATCGTTATAAACTAAACTTTAGACGATTCTGTTTAAGAGTTTATTGCTCATTTTTTAATTAGTTTTTAAAATCACAGTTGATCAACGAGGATGCTACGTCACCGGAATAGTATTTTGAAAGTTGTCGGAAACCACGTGTTTATTTTGTTTATTGTTGTGTTTCTGTTTTTATTTAATTTTTTAACTGAATTCAATGTTTAGGAAACGCAGTTCCTTTTGCTCTTACGTGTATAGCAATTATTTGTTTTCTATGATGTTATTGTTATTCTTTTACGTTCTTTTTATTCTTTTAAACATTGCTTATATTGTTTATTCTTTTGTAAAAATTTCTAGACACAGAATCTCCAGTGTTTGTTATGTGCCCAGAATCTTTTAGTGTGAGTGACGTCGGTTATCAAGGGGTCCTTGTGACCTGGAGCGAGCCCGCTGTTACTGACAATGTTGCCATCCACTCAGTTGTAAAAAACTTGGTAACTATTTTTTCGTTTACGTTTCCAATCAGTTTTATTGAAATATAATTTAGACATCATCGCATTCAAATGGATGTACTATTAACCTATATCCAGCTCATCCTGCAATTCAAAGTGATTTAAATAGTGTACGATAAGTCGTTTAAATAAATCGCAACCCGATATAACTACTTTGTAAACTAACTATTAAAATAGGTATGCCTATCAAGAGAAAGTTTTTTTTTTCTGGTTTCATAACATTCAAATATTATTTGTACTAAATAATTTTATTTTGTAACCATCGTTGAACAGCCGACCTTATTCTGGGTTAACGACTACCAATGTTCAACACCGTAGCCTTATAATTTTAATCCCGATCTGGAAAGCAAAGGAACTCCAGGATTAAGTATTGGGAGAAATTTGCCTTCGTGGAGGGCTTTTTGATGGAACTTAACCTTAATTGCGTTATATTGAGACGAAAACCTCCCGCGATTAGTCTGACGGCAAGGAGACTTTAACCCTTAATCCGTCTACCACTGAGGATATTTTACGGCAGTACTGTGGTCGTTTGCATATTTAACGTTAGGTCTTCGTATCATTGAGATTGGGTGCTAATACGTAAAATGTAGGTAGGTACTTTATTTACGTCGCACTAGAGCTGCACAATGGGCTATTTTTCGGCTGACCGGTAAACATCCCCGGGAATGATATACCATAACAATTTTGATCCTCTGTAAAGGGGGTGGCTTCCCCGATTTGGTATCCCGACATCTTGCTCGCAAAGTCGAGCACTTAGCGGTAGAACAGTTTAACGAGGATCGATACCGTGCAATTTCGGTCCAAACGCAGGCTGGTCAAAGCGGTCAACCACTCGTTTACTGACCGCAGTTTGCGATTCTTGAATTCAGTGTTCTACTGAGAACCGTGTTTTTACGATCAGTTCACTGCGGGACACTAGTATGTGAAAATCCGCTCATTTGATCAAATACTATGCAGTGTGTTCACTTTATTTTCCTCTCTGTATGCTTAAGTGTTCTTGTTTATGATCGCTCATTCATTTGATTTTCCATGACATTTCCTCGTTGCCAGTACAAAAAAATTTCCCTGTTTTTTTTTTAACATTATACATACGTATTAATGTTTTATGTAATAAGATAGCTCGACAAATATTTAAATTATTTATTCATTTGTTATTTTTGTTGATAAAAGATTCCTTTTAATTAATTTAAAATTTGAGTAATAGACCTATTACAAACATGTGTTCTTCTGTAAAAAAATATTACAGGATCCAAATTCTACTCTCAACGCCGGAGTTCATTTTGTTGAATATACAGCTAAAGATGCTGCCGGAAACAGTGCAACCTGTGCATTTCAAATTAATATTACCCGTAAGTATACCTTGGTTTACCATTAAAATATATTTTATTTCCAAAAAGTAAATGAACCACGTTATTGATCATGCAATCACCACACTTATTATGGTTTTTGGGAAAGTTTGTAAAAAAAATTAATGATCTTATAGTTCATATTTAAATAAAAGAAACTTATTGATTTCTGAGGAACCATATTTAAACTTGATCCCCACAAAAGAGGAGTAGCGGTTATACGAAAAAAGGATAGGCTATTTGTTGGATGTTAGTGAAACCGCGCAAACATATCGTTAAGTATTGTATTAATCGTTCGTATTGTTATTGTTAAGATTTTTTTTAACCTTCTTACTTTGTTCAAGTTCACTTATGTTTATATAGAATTTGATAACATTTATTCGAGTTATTTAAATTTAATGATTACATGTTTTGATGGTTCGATGATTACGGATCATTCTGATGTTCTTAGATCGATATCATAATCTGGAGCTACTTCAACCAGATTGAATTAATTCTTATTCTCAAAATAAAAGGCTCGTCTGAGATGTACTTTATGCTAACTGTTAATTAAGATACAAATTTAAAAATATACTTTCTTATAATTAAAGAGTCTTTTTTTGTCGGAAAAAGGTTTTTTTGCAAAAAAATATCTCAAATTTTATGCAAAATTCAACGATAAGGGTTATTTTACTAAATACTTTTTTTGAATAAAAAAAAATTAATTTTCATGAAATATGACGCAAAGAATTTATTTCTTAGATACACGATAAACAGCAAAAGGTTTTTTTACTCCTAATACCAGGTGGTCACTGTAAAGATCTCAATGATCCTGAAAATGGCAGGGCTGTTTGCATGGATTGGCTGATGGGTAGGCTCTGTAGACCTGCATGTAATCCAGGCTTTTCGCGCGATCCCGATGAGCCTAAATTTTTTGCTTGTAGTGATTCTAGAAAATGGACCCCTTCAAATACCATTTCCCCGTGTTTTTGTGAGTATTTTTTATTTGAACTAAGTAAATATTTTTTTAATAATTCAACATAATGGTAGATTAAACTAAATTTGTGCCCATCTCGATATAATGCAGGGTATCATAGATTTTAATAAATATTTAAATTTTTAAAGTTAAATGTGTACATTGGAGGACACAAATTAGTATTTAAATGAGAAAAATATAGCAAAATGTTATCAAACCATGAAAAATAATTTATCAAGGTAACAAAGGAGAGGTCCAAGTTATGAAGGAAAAAACAGTTAATTTGTTGGAGGATACTGAACTTCATCTATTCAAAATTGCTTTTCGGCATCTAAATAAAATAGTATTTTTTTTCCTTATTTTCATTCCTCCATGAATTTGATCGACCTAAATAATGATATCAATAAAGTTTTTAACTCTATAATTAATTTGATATTTAAGTTTTTGAAATTATTTTTTATTTTATTTTCTGTAAAATTAAAAAATATAGAACGCTCGTCATTTTCATCAGAAAATGATGGTGTATTTCTGCTTAATAAATATAAATCTTAAAATTAGAATTATTCCTTGCAGTTTGAATATTTGAAGCTGTATGTAACAAATCCCTAAAATAAATGAAAAAAATTTATTTGTACTCAAAACTGCATTATAGAACAGCCAAATTCTTTTCTTCTTTAATAGCACTGTTTTTCATTTTAAAAAGTACTGATAGCTTTGAATCTGATTAAACTAACCAATGATATCCGTTTCTGGCAAGCGAAACGTTTTGTATGATGTATAAATTTATACTCTTCAGTATAAACTTTACTCTGGATTAGATAAACAACACATTATTTTGTTCTACGTGTCAGGGTTGAAATGTAAAAATTACGTGTGGAAAAAAGCCCTCATATTTCTGAAAAAAATACATTTTTATAATAATTAGATTGGCAATTCTGAGTATATTTTAATGTTTGCATAATCAACATGAAACTGGTGAACATAAAATATTTTATTGTAGAAAGTAAATATTTTGAAATGTATATTTAATACTGCTCTTTCAGTTTGATTTCGAAAACTTATTATTTCCAATGTCTTTTTCAGCTGTATGTTCGAATGGAACAGAATGGTCAGCAATCTCGCAAAGCTGTGAGGAAGAATAACTTTTATTATACAGTAATAAATATTAAGGTACAAAGGCCATTAAACTGTAATTAAAAATTGTTTCACAAATGTTTCACACACTTGCATTTATCGTTTCCTAGTGACATGCGTTTTTCCTAAAAGCACTTTCTCAACTTCTGAGCACTTGACAGGGACAGGGAGTCCATACACACTTTTCAGATGTCAATAGTTTTCACTTTTCTTGATGACTTCATCTATTTTTGCAACATGAAGGTCTTTATTAATTTTGCTAATCATCCCTTATTGACATGCATGTTTCCTAGCACTTGTTTCACTTCTGAATATTTGACAGGGACATACAGTGTTCTCTATTTACCTTTTCCAGCTGCCAATGATCTTCACTTTTCTTGATGACTTCATCCATTTTCTCTCTCCGCTAGTCTTATTCAAGTTTCCTTATCATCCCTTAGTGACATGTGTCTTTCTTTAAACAGGGGTCTGTCCAGACATACTCGTAATTTGCGATTATAAAATAAGCGTTAAGTCATATTCTTCCAACCAGGGTCTTGTTATTGCAAAAAAACTTTTTCAAGAAGTTTTTAAATTGTAAATAGATACAAGATTATACTCAGCACTGCAAAATTATAATAATGAAGAATTAAAGTTTCAAAAATAAACAGCAGTTGCTGCTACTAAATTAGAGATGCAACATACAAATATTTGGTATTTAGCCTATACTGCTGAACGCAGGACATTCATTTCGGACGAATAAAAGTAGAAGCGTCTGCCGAAGACAAAACTTAGTTCCTTTACATTTGTCTTTCTTCACCCCCCCCCTGGAAAGGGTTTATTCGATTAACAAAACAGTAATGAAAATAAACAAATTTGTGAATGGTCCGATTAAAAGATAAATTATTTTGTTTTTAAGTTAAAATATTTTGTGAAGGGTCCGTTTTTATGAAAAGATATTCTGTGAAATTTTATGAAAAGACATTCCGTTAACGGACCCAAATTTCTTCGAAACAGACCCCTGTTTTAAAGCATTTAACCCACTTCTGAACACTTGACAGAGACATGTAGTAATCTCCATGCACGATTATTCGACAGTCTTTTGATCCCTTTTTGTAAGCCATACTTTCAGATACTGAAGAAATAGATTGACAACTGCTTTCTTATAATACATTTAGCATTGCTTTCCTCACCGTAACAACAGGGAACTACAGAGTGAATCCTTTTAGTCACACCAGCAACTACATTTCAGACTAGTTTTTCTTCTTCTAAAAACCATAATTTCTGTTTAATGGCTTCTTACTTATTGAATGTGCCTCATATATTTGTCTTTATGAATCAATTAATGTATGTAGTTTGTCACAAAATTATTTTCTGTTTCAATATGCATTAGAAATTATATATGTAGATTATGAAACAATAATTTAAATGAAGCACTTCTTGCAGTTGTGATTTAGTTACAATGCAAAAAGAGATGAAGATTTTAAGCACAAGCCACAATAAAAAGAATTTCCCTCTATAAAAGACTCAAGAGAGATAAAAGCCGTTTTTAATTTAAACTGTTGCAATGAAATAAGATTTCCCAAGTTACTAAAACCTTCACAAAAGCTAAAATAATTGACACAAGTTCTCCAGGCAAAAATCCTTTTTAAAAGCTACAGCTTGGGTTCAGGTAGAGAATAACTTCATAAATCTGAAGCTTTGATAAAAGTTTTAACTATGTAAGAGCTGCAGGTTTATTCAAAAAATTTACCTTCATAAAAACTACTGCTTTTATAGAGAATTCTAAAGATTATGAATGTTACAGTTGTAAGGAAGTATTCTTTACCTGAATAAAAACTTCAGCTTTTATAAAGTTTTTTTTGCCTTATAGACAGCTTACGCAAAGCAGTAAAATAATTCTTAATCTCTTGAGAAAGTTTTTGCAGAATTTTTTTCCTTTAAAGTAGCTGCCTCTCGTATAGAATTGAATATTAAAAGTAAAAAAATCACTGAATTCTTTATTTAAACAATTCACCTATTGAAAATCTTCTTAATTAATTGTATTAAACTTACCCCCCGCGATCCCGATGAGCCTNCCCCCAATTTTACTTTTCGTTTTATGCCATATACTAGCACTTTTTTTTAATTTCAAGCTTTTTATTACAAAAATGCAATCCAACTACATCCGTTTAACTTTTTTTACAGTTAATTTTAAATTTTTTTCTCTGAAATTTGTTGCAATATTAAGTGCAAAACCACTATTTTGTACTACTATATGTAGTTTTCTTTAACAAATGAACAAATTTTCACAAATTTAAATGGTGGATAACTCGGTGCTTTTTCTTCACATTAGAATGCTTAAGAACTAATTACAATATGTAAAAACAACAAAATAGAATCAATGGAAGAAGATGAAATTGCTGCAATTATGTGATAAAGTGTATAAAGTTTTTAACATCAAATTATAGTGGTTTTCTTTGGATTCTTTTTTAAATGCCTTTATCAGAATTTAAATATATTGTGGTTTTGGAGATATAATCAATAATTTAAGAATATTAACTGAAGAGCTATTTCAGCGGAAAAGTTT